CTATGTAACATTGAAAACCTAATTTTACATAGATGCATTATTTTTATCTCAATCAATTTCATGGGATAACTTTTGTGCGCATACCTTTTTTTTTCTTTTAAATAACTTAAATAGTGGGTAGATTTTGTAGTTCTTTTTCCTATAGGTAGTTGTACGATAGTGGGTGATTCTTTAACATGAAAATAATAACCATAATCGATTAAGAGGGTGTTTGGCTAAGCTTATAAGATGTTAAAATGAGCTTATAAGATGTTTTAGAGCTTATAAGCTCTTCCAAAGTGTTTGGTAAATTTTTGAGAAAAGATCTTAATTTTTTTAAAAATAAGCTGTTGGAGAGCAAATAAGATCTTTTTAAAAAAGTACCTCTACCCCCACATTTTTATTTAAGAACTTATAATGAGTAAAAATAGGAAATAAGCTCATGATCCAAACACTCTAAAAACTAATCCTAAAAATAAGATATAACAGCTTATCAGCTCTTAAAACATCTTATCAGATGTAAGAGCTTATCAGCTGTTTAAAATAAGCTTAGCCAAACACCCTCTAAGTTGTTAGTTGTTTCCTAAAGTTTTTATCATGTTCTACTAATAATGTAAATAGTGGGTAGATATGGAAGTTTTTTGCTACTGCTAGTTGTATAATAGTAGGTGACATTGTAATATGATAACTATAACCGTAATTGATTTAGTTGGTAGTTTTCTCTCTGAAAGTTTTTCCTATTCTACGGTATAAGCGATTTCGTTCCTAACATACAATAATTTATTTTCGTTCATTATGGTTCCAAATTTTACAAACATGATTGATATTATTCCTAGGAGAATTGATTAGAAAATTATTCATCATGGTTATGTGGTTTATTTCCGGTTATAGTGGTTCAAATGAAGTCACCCAAGAAATAGTCTTTAACGGATGAGAACGTTGTTCTTAATTGGGGATTTCGGTTAAATCAATAAGTATTATTAGTTGTTTATTGATTATTTTGGTAAATGCGCTGAATGATTCTACATTGAAGTTATGCTTCTTTTATATATGTTTTCCCTTTTTATGCCGAAATTAATGAGAAAATTTCAATCTATATAATATATAAAGGGAGAATACACAATTGAAGTTTTCATATCTTCAATTTTGATCCTACTTTTATTTCTTTTCTTTCATTTCGGTTTACTTGCCTTTTATATTACACATTCCATTGAATGTAATTATCATCTCCATAAAATCCGATTCTTATTTGTTTTTTTTCCATATATTTTAATGCCTAATATATTACACATTTTATTACCTAATTTATATAGATACTTCCACCAAATTTGATTAACTTTTCATTTTTAACAAACTTCTGATTTTATGTTATTTTTTATAATTTTATTTCAATAAATTTGTATTATATTGATTTATTTATTTTCCCTATTTTGTAAATAAAACTAGATTTACCATTCTTTTGTATTTGATTTTTTTTTCCCATTTTGCCCCAATTTTTCTAATATATATCTATATAATATATAAATGATGAATTCCACCATCAATTTAATTTTTATTATGTGATACATCCCTAATTTCATCTCATTTATCAATTTGATTGGTGAAAAAAATAGCAAAAAACATGTTATCGTATCATTTCATTTACATTCCACATCATGTTTACAAATTAGGTAATATTACCATTAATCCAGCTCTGCTTATTTAATAAATGATCGTTCAAAGCTTACCAAAAAGGTAGCCATATATCCATTTTTTCCTTCAAGTAAATATGGTCATTTCTCATTTTCATTTATTTTAAATTACCAGCCAAGATTTCAAACAATTATGTCCATTTATATTCGTATAGTTAAGAAAAATCTTTGACTTTTATTTACCATTAACCACATAATACTAGGGATAACATCACAAGTAAATTTATGTATTTTTAAAATTCAAATTCCTTCCTTCCTTTACAGCAATTTTGCATTAATTATAATATTATTTTCCTTATATATAATTTCCACTAGAGCTATAAAATGGGCATCCGACGCCTTCACTTTCATCATTGTTCGTATCCGTTCCGTTTTCATATTTGTTTATTCGTGTAATGTTCTTTTTTTCTTTATTCTACATTCGTTAATTTGTTATTTCCCGTATTATGTATTTGCATGACCATTTACTTCAAAAATGTGTTATTTTGATTAAGCTTTGATCATGTTTCACTCTTGCAGATAATTGATCAAGGTCGATAAACTAATAGGATCGTCTCACATTTGGGGAATTTTATTCAGTGTATGATATAAAAAGTGAAAATTTATTTTTTATTTCGCCTTGACTTATTTTTCCGTAGTCCTTTACCTTAATTCGCTTCATTACTTCTTAATTATTGTTTCATTATTTCTTTTTACAAGTTTACAGACAGGAAGATGAGATTTGAATTTTTTTTGCATCATCATCACATTACTATGGTGGTTGATTCACCTTTGCCATTTTCCTTAATATATGTTTAAAAAAAATTAATTTAATTTATTTTTTCAATTGTCGTTGTAGTATTTGAGTAACTTTTTCGTTAAAACTGCTGAATAGTAATTCTTTGTAGCATTTTTTTAATGTATGTTTAAATTAAGTTTTAGTTTTTTTTTCTTTTTTCTTTTTTTTTCATATCGATTACTATACAAATCAATTTACGGTTTGAATTTTTATTTAGTTGACATCTTCAATTTTGATCCCAAAGTTTTTCGTTAATTTAATTTTAAGATTTCTTTCCTTTATTAATCCTTATTACATTTTATTCAATTTAATTAATTTACATCATTTCAATAAATAATTTGTTTATTACATTTTTAATAAAAAAATCATTTCATTGAATATCATATACGGATTGTGCTCATACATTAATAGTCATCAATTACTTACTTAAATTAGTGGGTCATATATAGACCTAAATTAAATTAGTGGGCTATATATCAGTAATCACACCATATTGTAATTACTTCTAATTTAACTGCCATAATAATGTGTGATTATAACTAAAGAACCATATATTATACGGTTATACCATGATTATTTAATTTTGTTTATTGATTCCCGCAAATTGACGAGAAATACATGATTTATTAATAATTAATAATTTATGCCTTAATTATATATTGTTACCTTTTGTAGCATATTCAACACAAGTTATAAAACCCCAACCATTTCTATCACACTCATCACATTCACCCAACAAATTACACAAGTACGGATACTTTTTTTCGTATGTTTTATGTTTATTCATTTTTTTTATAATTATTTCCGATTAATGGTATTCAATTAATTACCTAAATTAATGGGTCATATATTAGTAGTTTATTATATTTTCGATTTTTCACCCCTATTAGTGGGTCATATATATGCCTAAATTAAAATAATATATATTGACTCAATTATATTGGATGGTTGCAAATTAGGTAATTTCATTTTATTTAAGCTCAGTAATTAATTTTGTAGGATTATTTTAAGTGTATATATGAATATTTACAATTTGGTCTTATTTAATTGATGAGTATCTTTTTTCAATATTCAACTATGTAGATTGCAATCTTCATTTGATGAAATAAAATAATAGTGCTCAAATAAAAAAATAAGATTAGGAATATATATATATATATATATATATATATATATATATATATATATATATATATATATATATATATATAATATCACACGATTATGATTATACTTTCCATTAGTATACAAATGTAGAATTATATAGATTTTCCATAGTAATTAAATTAAGAATCTTAATTTATGGTATTAATTATATATTCGAGCACCGCACTAATCTTTGTTTTTTTTTTCTACGTACGTATGCTACTATCAGAGCCTGATCAAATAATGATTATCACAGTTGATTATGCACAAAATTGAATAGTGCATAATTAATTGAACAACAATTCTCTGTCGACGCATCAGAAGTATACTATAGGTCAGTTTTATACAAATCCATTTTTTGTTGGATTTGATGGTTGTTTTAATTAGTTGTTGTGTGTTTGCATAATTAAGAACAATTTAAATAATATACAATTAATACCATGTCTTTGTTGGTCAAAATCATTGGCATATCATGCGATTTACTTGCCATGTCCTTTCAATAGTTTGATGGAAGAACCAGTTTATGTTTATCTACACATTTTTTATGTTATACCAACGATGGCATCTAATTGTAATCTGATTGCATCATCGTATTCTTTCTAGATGAACGATACATCGAAATCACTGGATTCACAGAATACATCCATTCACTATGATGTACCTATTGGTAAGGCTTTAATAATCAAATACAAATTTAATTATTTTAGTTCATATGATAATAATTTATAAAATACATTTTACTTCTCATTTCATCTGTACATTTGTTTAACCGTATAATCAGTATATTATTCGGAAAAATAACTTTAATTAACATTTATTTTTGTCAAATTTTCTGTATTAAATGATCTTTTTTTCAATACACGTTCGTTTTTATTATTTTTTGTATGTGTTTAGAATATTCATCGCAACCGGTTGACAAAAAGGTTGCAAAAGCTAAACGCAAGATCAACACCGACAGTACGCGATTTCCGCCAAATGTAGTTGTTGGTAATGTTTTACAATAAAATAGCCTATCTTTTCATATTTCACAATACATATTGTACGCGTTAATACATATGTTATTGGTTGACTACAACCGTTGATTTTCCACACTTATTATTATTATTATTATTATTATTATTATTATTATTATTATTATTATTATTATTATTATTATTATTATTATTATTATTATTATTTAGTCTTTAAAATTTATGGATTATTATTATTTAGTATTTGATTCGATGTTATTATTATTATTATTATTATTATTATTATTATTTAGTCTTTAAAATTTATGGATTATTATTATTTAGTATTTGATTCGATGTTACGCTATACTAGATTACGACAATCTGGGAGATCAATCGTATGAATGTCAATCGTGTGGTGCAATGATGTGGTACGCTTAGCGGCTTGATAAGCACATGAACACATCGAGACCCGAGTTTTCACTATGTTGTCAGAACGATAACGTACAACTGCCTTATATGAAAAATGCCCCACCTACTCTTTCCAATTTGCTTTTCGGTACGGATAGGCGGAGCAAACATTTTCAGGACAATATTCGTTCTTACAACATGATGTTTGCTTTCACATCACTTGGCGGAAAGGTCCAAACATCTATTAATACGGGTGCTGGACCATACACATTTCTACTTCAAGGTCAGAATTACCACCTATTGGGTAGTATGTTACCAGAGGAAGGTGCACGACCTAAATTCGCACAGCTTTACATCTTCGACACGGAGAATGAAGTCCGCAATAGAATTGATGCTGTCAGGTAAAATTATTTTCATTTTTCGTGCACCCATTTGCAATACATATGAAGTATTTACAGGCGAGTGTAATTCTTTAATCATTTTTTATTGTAGGTCTGGAAATGGCTCGAACAACCTTGATACTCAAATTGTTGCATCCTTGAAGGATATGATCTACGAGAACAACGTCCTTGCTCAGTCTTATAGAGCTGCCCGTGATCGATTTTCGAGAGAAGGTCTGCAAGGTGTTAAGCTAAAGCTGGTTAAGAGTCGTAGCACCGATGGGAGGACTTACAATCTCCCTAATGCGAGTGAGATTGCAGCGTTGATAGTTGGAGATTTTGACATGCAAGAGGGTGTTAGAGACATTGTGGTTGAGACTCAGTCCAAGAAGCTGCAACGCATTAGTGAGTTGCACCCATTGTACCTACCGTTCCAGTATCCGCTCATATTTCCTTACGGGGAAGATGGATATAGAGAAGATATTGGTTTGAGAGACTCTTTTCGAGTTAACAGTGGAAAACGAAAGAACTTAACCATGCGAGAATACTTTGCGTACCGTTTCCAAAAAAGAAGCATCGACAGTCCAGTACTGCTGAATTCAAAAAAGTTGTTCCAACAGCTTGGAGTGGACGCGTATTCTATGATTGAGTCGCAAATGTTGAATTTTATTAGGCACAACCAGGATCAGTTGTGTGTGGACATGTACAAAGGCATTGAAGAACGTTTTTTCAAAGGGGACACTGAGGGAACATCAGTTGGAAAGCGCATAATTCTGCCAGGTTCTTTCATTCCCGGACTTCGGTACATGTTCAACAATTTTGTCGACGCACTTCAAATTTGTAACTGGATTGGTTTTCCATCATTGTTCATAACTATTACATGCAATCCACAATGGCCTGAAATACAAAGGGTCCTCAATGACACAAGTCTCAGACCGGAGGATCGCCCTGATATTCTATGTCGCGTATTCAAAATGAAGTTGGATAGTTTGATGACGGATTTCAAGAAGGGACATATATTCGGACGAATCAGAGCACGTAAGTCATGAACTCTTTTTAATAAATTATTTTAGGAGTAAATTCATTACATCAAGTATTGTATTAAAGTATGCATATTAATTACGTAATTTACGTAATTATTTTTATACGCAGATGTGTGTACTATAGAATTTCAAAAGCGTGGTCTGCCTCATGCACATATATTGTTGTGGTTGGATAACGATGCCAAACCTAAGTGCTCCGCCGACATCGACAAGATGATCTGTGCAGAAATTCCGGACAAAAAAAACCGACAGAAAGATGTACAACTTGGTTGAGAAATACATGATACACGGCCCGTGCGGTCATGCGAATTTGAATTCACCTTGCATGAAGGATGGCGTTTGCACGAAGAGGTTTCCAAAAAAGTTTGTACAACGAACCGAGGCCGACCCTGATGGTTACCCGGTATATAGGAGGAGGGATGATGGAAGAACGGTTAGGAAGAAGAATACTATTCTTGATAATGGATTTGTGGTTCCCTACAACCGTGTGTTATTGAGTAAATACCGAGCCCACATCAATATCGAGTTGTGCAACCAGAGCAAGTCAATAAAGTATTTGTTTAAGTACGTCAACAAGGGACACGATCGTGTCACGGCAACACTTTTCCAACCTCCATCTACGGACGCCGGTCCTGCTGTTCGTGATGAAATCAAAATGTATTATGACTGCAGATATTTGTCTGCGTGCGAGGCAATATGGAGGATATTTGCATTTAAGATACATTACCGAGATCCACCCGTCATTAGATTGAGCTTCCATCTCCCCGGCAATCAACCGGTTGTATTCAATGAGAACCAATCATTAAAGAGTGTCTTGGAAAGGCCAACCGCGAGGCAAACCATGTTTTTGGCGTGGTTCGAGGCGAACAAGACCTACCCACCAGTTAGGGAGTTACGGTACGCAGAGTTTCCCCAACATTATGTGTACAAGGATGATTCTCGAGTGTGGGTGCCAAGAAAGAAGAGGTTTGCCATTGGAAGAGTCACCAATGTGCCCCCGACAAAGGGAGAAGACTTTTATCTTAGATTGTTGCTCAACGTCCAAAGAGGGTGCAAAAGTTACGAAGACATCAGAACGGTAGGTGGCAATGTTTATGCGACGTTTAGGGATGCGTGCTATATTTTGGGGCTGTTAGAAGATGACAAGGAGTACATTGGTGCAATTAGAGAGGCATACGGTTGGGCAAACGGACACTTCCTCAGACTGCTTTTCGCTGTTATGCTGCTTTCTAATAGTTTGAGCAGACCGGAACATGTTTGGGAGAAATGTTGGTCCAATTTGTCTGATGATATTACATACAAGCACCAGAAATGTCATAATAATCCAGGTATCGATTAGTTTTGTGTTATTTTACAATTTTTTGTTCAATTTCTTATTTGTCCGGAACACATTTGTCTTACTATCTATACATTTGCAGGTTTGATTCTATCGGATGATAGTTTGAAGAACTACGCGCTGATAGAAATCGAGAAGATCCTACAGAGCAACGGCAAGAGCTTGCGGAATTTTGACTCTATGCCGATGCCACTAGATTCGTCGATGGATGACACGGAGAACCGATTAATGCTCGATGAGTTGGACTACGATGTATTTGCGATGGGTGAAGAACTGAAACGATATCTTTCTTCTATCACAGATGAGCAGAGAAGGGTCTACGATGCCATCATGGATGCTGTGTCGAAAAATTGTGGCGGGATGTACTTCCTCTACGGTCACGGAGGTACCGAAAAGACATTTATATGGAGAACGTTGTCCGCTGCTGTCCGTTCGAAGGGGGAAATAGTTCTTAATGTTGCTTCGAGTGGCATAGCATCGTTGCTGCTTCCCGGTGGCCGGACCGCTCATTCTAGATTTGGACTCCCCATCATTGTGCACGATGGTTCCACCTGCAGCATTACACAGCAGAGTCCACAAGCAGAATTGCTTATAAAGGCGAGGCTCATTATATGGGACGATGCACCAATGATGCATAGATATTGTTTCGAAGCGCTTGACAAGACCTTGCGATCTATCACGCATGTTCCCAAACCATTCGGTGGCAAGGTGGTCGTTCTTGGCGGAGACTTTAGACATATTTTACCCGTTGTATTGAAGGCATCAAGGCAGGACATTGTTAACGCTACGATCAACTCATCTCAGCTTTGGGAAGACTGTAAGGTTCTTAAGTTGCATACGAATATGAGGCTTCAATCAAGTTCCAATCCATCGGAAGTTGACGAAGTAAAGGAGTTTGTTGATTGGATACTGAGTATCGGTAATGGGGAGGCGGGAGAGCAAAACGATGGTGAAGCGTCTGTTGAGATTCCCGAGGACATGCTAATTCCCGATTCCGAAGATCCATTATTGGAGTTGTTGCAGTTTGTATATCCGGATTTGTTGAGTAACATATCAAATCCCGATTACTTCCAAGGGAGGGCGGTGCTTGCGCCGACTAATGACTGCGTTGAGTTTGTCAACGAATACTTATGTTCCCTCCTTCCCGACGAAGAGAAGTTGTACCTCAGTGCGGATAGTATGTGCAATGATGAGATGAGTTCGGAAGAGAATGCTCAAATTTATACGACCGAATTCCTCAACACCGTGTCTTGCTCCGGTCTCCCTTCACATAGGCTGAAACTCAAGGAAAATGTTCATGTTATGCTCATACGAAACATCGACCAGGCGAGAGGCCTTTGCAATGGAACCAGACTTCAAGTTGTTAGAATGGGAACTCATGTTCTTAGCTGCAAGGTTCTATCCGGCAAAAATACCGGTGATGTTGTTTTCATTCCTCGGATGACGTTGGTCCCGTCAAACTCTACTCTGCCAATTAAGTTCCAGATGCGACAATTTCCACTGATGATTTCCTTTGCAATGACCATCAACAAGAGTCAGGGTCAAACACTTTCCCACGTTGGTTTGTATCTACCCAGACCAGTATTCAGCCACGGTCAGTTGTACGTTGCACTCTCGAGAGTCAAGAGTAGATCTGGAATAAAGATCCTAATCAAGTCCGAATCCGGTGGGTTGTCGAGTTCAACTAGCAACGTTGTTTACAAAGAAGTATTTCAGCGCATATGAAGGTATATGTCGTAAATTATCGTCTATTTATATTATTATAACGATATTTAGTCTTATTAATGTGTGTATATCCTCTTTATGTTTAGGTATGTTTGCACGTGATTTTGTATTTCTAGCATATTCGCTGCATTCGCATTTGGTAAGTAATATAATGTAAATATTATTTGATTATGCATTATTGTCATTGTTGTTTCATAAAGAATGCATTGAACTCAATTCATGTGAAGTACGTAAATTTTGCAGGTTATCTATTATGTACTGTTAGATTTAAGTGGACCAACGAGGTGGTGCAGTGCGTTTGATTCCATTACTTTAATTAGTTCTAGCATTCTCATATGGAAGACATGTTGAACGGAATATTTTATGCATTATGTTATAAACAAATATTATGTTGCTTCGGACCAAATGTTTTTGTTTAACAACATATTTGCTTATATTAGTTTTATATTTATTTTGAAATATTTTTCTTTACGATCCTAAATTGTTCAATAGTAGATTTGTTCTCAAAGGTGATCACCGTGCATCGCACGGGTGAAATACTAGTTTATTGTATATTTCTAATACACATGATCTTAATCTTATAATATTTGATTCCCAAAAATAATGTTATTTACTTAACATTTTTTTTTATAATTTTATTTCATGTTATAATGATGCAACTCCTTGAAGTAAATCACATAAATAGATAGTTGGATATGTTGTTTGATAACTACGAGTCTACGATATGTCAGATGATCGAACTACTCAGATATCCATCCTCAAGTTACTGAAGTTGACCAAAATTTGAGAAGAAATTAATAGACATTCATGATAGTATAATTTATTTTATGATAGCGAATATAAAAAAAATATTATTTATTAGGAGACTGGTAAGTTTTAAAATATGTATTTTGTGATTGTAACACATGTCGGTTTATAATCAATTTTTCATAGATCGCTGAATATTGGTTTATAGATTCCCATACTTAATTAGTTTTGATTTTACAAAATATGACTATGGTACACACTTGGACATATAAATTAAATTTTCTTTTTTGCGAGAATAAAAATTAATTGATTAAAAATTTGATAAATGATTTTCATATTTCTATTTCATTTAACTTTTTACTATCATGTCCACAAATAAGTGTTTTACTTATCCCTTTTTTTTATATCCATCATCCACTTTTTAAATTCAATTGTTGTTTTATGTGATATTGCATTTAATAAGTGGAATTATTACATTTCACTTTTGCTATTGTATTAGCTTTGAATATAACGTTTCTTAATTTTGGTTATATTAATTTTTTTTATCATCATTTATTTACCTCTATTTATTTTCTTTTTCTTTTTGAATATTCGGCCGTGCAACACACGGGGCAAAGTACTAATTGAAATAAAGAAAATCATTAATAAAATAAAAAAAGAAAAGGAAAAATAAATATTGAAATGGTGTGATAAGTGGAGATATTAAGGGATTTGCATATATCAACATAGTTTTTTTTTTAATTTATTGGAATCATCAATTGGAGCATATAAGGCATGTTGGGTTGATTGAATTTATGGCAAATAACAATTTAAGAATTGGATTTATGGCAAATATCAATTTAAGAATTGGATTTATGAAGAAGTAAAAACTGAACAAGGGGAATTTATCATATAGCACCTAAAATATAAAAGGGAGTTAATATGTTGCATTTCCTTATTCTTCTTCAAGAAGTGGCCTGTAAAAAAGAAATAAAGAAAATGAACTAATAACACTTTAATAAAAAAATGGTAGATAAATTTTCAGCATTAGTCTCACTATTTATGAATTTCTTCACTCTAAAAAGATTATCCTCCTTCATCGGGAAATATGTCCAAATCAAATCCACAATCTCCCACCACATTCAAGTCAAAATCGCTTAAAGGTTTACTGTATGAAAGTACTTCCAACAAAGGTTCTATATCTGAAATCATAGAATCTTCAACATTCATAAAGTTTCAAAAAAAAATTCACCATCTACAAAAGGTTCACTCTTCATTTTTCCCTCTTTACGTTTTTGTTTTTATGGTCCGATTGATTGTGATTTGTGAGTTGTGACTTCTTAATTTCCTTTCATTAATTACCTTTACATTGAATGCTTATTAAACAAAGATAAATTAGCTGGAAAAATTAGGAGTTACAACAATTAATACTAAAGGTAAAACTGCAAAGGACATGAATTCTCTATTGAAAATAGAGAACGCCAAATAATCTGGAAAAAGTAATCTATGCCAAATAATAACTATTGAGGGAAGGAGGGAGTATATAATTCTTCTCCTAAGCCCCGTAACAAATGGTAAAATGTAGCAATTACGTGTTTTTTTTACATTCATTTAAAAGATAACAATTACATATTTGTGACGAACAAAAAAACCTCATTTTTTTAGTACGATGTTGTATTTTCTAATTTCTGAAATTGGAAACTTTCCTTTTCGTGCACCTTTTAAATTCGGAAAATTTCATTTTAGAAACTTCTCTCCAACTTAGTGGAAATGTCTTATTCTTATCATTCCAATTCGTAATCCATTATTACAAATTTACGGAGTTAATAACATTAAGATCCACAACTACCAAGAACAATAACTTTGTCCTTGGCTCACCATACTAAGAAATCCTGACTTCAAGAAATGTAACCCTCAATGGTTCAGATGTAAAGCTAGTTGTGAGTTCACAGGATATTGTGATTTGAATAACTCTTTGTTCGTATGCGGACTCGTCTTGAGCATCCTAATTTAAATCAAAATTCATTTAGATATGAACCGTCGATATAATCGGTAACCCTAACGAACCTTGATAAGCAACTAGCAATTATACTTCATGACTCCCTAGTTACAAATGAAGTGCCTATAATTTTAGTTGACATGTTAAGTCCCTTTTACAACACATGTCCTGATCGAACTAGAGGCATTGACCCATTGAGATCTCTGACATTGTCCAATAACTTTGCAAGTGTTCTAAAGTTATATATTCCTTTCGTGTGTGATTCTGAGAAACTATTTTTTTTAATCATCCCACTTATTATTTTGATCAAATACTCCATGGAATATAAACTGAACGAACACACTTGACATCCATACATTTAATCAAGCGATCAAATCCCTAACTATAATGCACAGACTCCCACTAAATTTTAGACTGTGCGAACATTAGCCATTCGAGTGATCTCCGATGATACTCATAGACATGTCATAACACAGTTTGTCCTCTAGTAAAGTCGCACTGTTGTATTAGGTCTTAAAGACTAATAGTGTATAACTATAATTGTAGAACCTCTACTCGATTAGTGGAAACCACTTAGAGATACTAGAACGAGGGAGTTCATTGAACTCATCTACTATGATAACACCCACTGAAGTACGCCATATCTCTACACCGTAGCTAATGAGATGCATTTCACGGACACTAAGAGCTAGTCTTGAAAGGGAAAACCCACCATCCTACTTATTGGCGTAACCCATCGGTTATGAACTGATTTAATAGTTACAATACTGAATGCATTGTCTCACAATTCTCCTAAATCAATTCATAGAATTTTAGAGCAGCTATAAGGTCTATATATACGCTCTTGTATATGGACAAAAGATATTGCTTGCCAAAGATAGAGTTTTTCATTTAATACAAAATAATTGTGTTATAGAATTATGAAAAAAACCGTAATCAAAAGTTGGCCTGCAGGTCACCCATTCCGACATGAATATCGTATAAATATTAAAGAAATGATTAAATGCAAAACACGTGACATTTCTACTCTCTAGAATTTTCTTTTGAGTTTATTGTTCACTGCCAAAGCAAGCTAATTTGAGCGTTGGAAGATTTTTGACGCCTCAAAATCCTGATCACCTAACGGACATTAAACTTGATATTAGTAAATATAATGATCAGATAGAATGAAAATTCTTGAAAATAATTCCCTGAAGTGTTTGTTTACCTCAGAGATTAGTAGATCTTATTATGCTTTGTATATTGTCAGTGTCTTATTCATTCATTTTTAACGGCTCGCAATTTGGATTGTTGCAGCCGACCGAATGACTTCGCCAATGGGACCCTCTCTAACCTTAGCTGTTCATTTGTTGTATTGAGGCTCTAATTTCAATGATTAGGAATGCTAGCAACTCTGGATCCTTGCATGGAGTTAAGGTGGGGCCCTCTTCGTCCATGGTTTCCAACCTTTGTTTCGCCGATGACACCCTTGTATTTTGCGGAAAGAAACCGAATTTGATGCAACGACTTTAAAAAATATTTTGGGTTAATACACACAAACCTCGGGACAAGAGATATTAGTTTCGACAAGTCCACGCTGATGTTATATCCGGGAGACGTGTGTGCCTCAAATCCACAACATTATTAACTTTGAGGTAGTGTAGCGTCATGGGAGATATTTGTGAATGCTCGCACAATGGGAGAGACAAGAAAATAGATTTTTGGCTACATTAGAGATCGAATATGTGCAAAAATTAGAGGTTGGGGAGAAAAATACCTATAGAGAGTGAATAAGGAAGTACTCGTTAAAGTCGTACTATAATCGATCCCATCATATATCATGAGTTGTTTCCTCTCATCTTGCCACAAGGAATCATCCTCCAGACATCAAAAGAACGATCTAGAGATATTGGTGGGGGGGGGGGGGGGGGGGGGGTACGGACAACAAAATGGTTTGGGTCTCATTGAAGAAGTTATGTAGATTGAAGGAGATGGGTGGCCTGGGCTTTCGAGACATGCGATGGTTTAATATGGCCCTTCTAGCGAAGCAAGCTTGGCACATTATGATGCCACCAAACCTTTTCCTCTCTCAAATTATCAAATTATGAATGCCAGGCACTTTTCGGATGGTGATTTCTTATCGGCAAACATTGACAAACGCCCTTCGGCAACATGGAAGAGCATATGGGCAGGTACGGATTACTTCTACTCGGGTCTCTGGAAACGGATAGGCTATGGTCGTTCAATTTCAATATGGTACGATTCGTGGCTCACGGACAACGGAAGTCGGCGGATC